TCTGTCTAAATAAGATGGTTCTAAACCTAATACAAAATTATGTACAAGAAGAACAATTTAGCCAGATGTGGTAGCACACACCTTTAATCCCAGCACTGGGGAAGAGGGGCAAAGGCAGACTGATCTCTCTGAGTTCCAGGAAAGGCTCCAAAGCTACAGAGAAACCCTGTCACAAAATAAAAAATTTAAAAAAGTACAATTATCAAGTATTGTCCAGGAAAGGGAAAGCATAATAACATAAACAAAAATGGAACTGTAACCAACAACAACATCAAGCAAGAAAAATGTAACTAAATGTTGAGACCATGGGTAATTGGCAGATTACAAAGATTACTCCAGTAGCTGTCCTATCTTTGAAGAGTCTAAATCTTGTACCTAACATGCTCTCTAGCTAAGATATGAGAGCATAGTATCTGACTATCTAGTCTTCAAACCCATCAAAGACCTGAGAAGGAAAATAATATTATCCTGAGTAAGTAGGAAGTGCAAGCAAGTGACTTCCAAAATGTGCAGGAAATGACAGAAACAGCTGGCTACCTAAACATTGCCTCTGCAATGCTGGGGCAACCAACATTGGCTATAGGCTTAGAATATTTGACATACCATTTCAGAAGCAGGTAAATTTGAAAGACTGTCCTACCCTGTCTTGGCAGGGTTTAGCAGTCACTTTTCCTTGTATCTTGCCTGCCCTGCTTGGACAGCATGCTTACTGTCAGCAGTCAAGGCAAAGGCAGTTCTTGCCCAATAGGCAAGTTTGCCAAGAGACAAGGCCCATGTGGAGTGTCTTTGGTGCCCATCATTCTCTTGGGCATGAATCATTGCATTCAGGAGCAGTCATGTATACTTCTACCTTGCTGTTCATATCTTTCCTTATTTCTATTTTCTTTTTTAAAATTTTATTTTTTATTACTATTTTTATGTACATTGGAGTTTTTAGCATGGGTGTTGGGTCTCCTGAAACTAGAGTTACAGACAGGTATGAGCTGCCATTTGGGTGCTGGGAATTGAACCCAGGCCCTCTAGGAGAGCAGCTAGTGTTCTTAACCAGTGAGCCATCTCTCCTGCCCTAGTTTTCCTATTTTCTTCTCAGCACCTAATGACATAACTTTGCAGTAGCATACTTAATAAAACTTAACTGATTTAAAGTTTTGGGTTTTGGTTTGGTTTTGGTTTTTTGTTGTTGTGGTGGTGGTGGTGGTTTTCCTGAGACAGGGTTTCTCTGTGTAGCCTTGGTTGTCCTGGAACTCAATCTGGAGATCAGGCTGGCCTTGAACTCCTAACTCCTAGATACCTGATTGTCTCTGCCTCCCAAGTGCTGGAATTAAAGGCATTGCCACCACCACCACCAGGCTTCAAACAGATCTTTTTAAATAGGCTGAATTGTAAGGCACTAAATGGTAGCTGAAATGAGTGTTTTTCATTCTTAAAAGATGGCAACCATTACAATATTGTATGTAGCTAATAATGGTTATTAAACATAGTGTCTAACATATACAATAACAATTGACTTTAAAATTAACTATTATTAAATATGTTAAAAGAACAAGAGCCTGGCATGGTGTTATATGCTTGTAGTCCCACTTGAGACCATGAGTTTGAGATGTGACTGTACAACATAGATCTTAATCCAAAACTAAGAAAACTTGGAAGATTTTTTTTTTTTTTTTTAAGAAACAGCATAAATTATAAGTGTCCAGGATTGAACAAAGATCTTCAACTTTAACAAACATCTTTACCCTTTGAATTATTTTCATTTTTAAATATGGAATGTAGGGAACCCCTGAGACACATGATAAGATTTATTTTTAATTAGGAGCATGAATATTTCTGGGAGTGGGAGTAAGGGTTCAGATGAGTCTAGTTTCCCATGAGGTCAGATCCTGTATTAGGGTTACCTCACTCCTGGTACCAAAGTCTGTGTTAGTCAGGGTCTATAGATTAGTGATTCTCAATCTTCTTAATGCTGCAACCCTTTAATATATAGTTCCTCGTGTTGTGGTGTCCCCCAACCATAAAATTATTTTTGTTGCTACAACATAATAGTAATTTTGCTACTTTTGTGAATTTCAATGCAAATATCTGTTTCCTTGTGGTCTTGGGTGACTCCTATGAAAGGATTGTTCAACCCCCAAAGGGATCACAACCCACAGGTTGAGAACCACTGCTAGAGGCACAGAACAGAACGAGGGAGAATAGGGTATGGGATTTGTTAGAATGGCTTACAAGCTGTATTCCAGATAACCCAGCAACTACTGTTTACCAGTGGAAGGTCCAAATATCTAGTAATTGTTCAGTCCATAAGGCTGGCTGTCTCAGCTAATCTTCAGATTACACCAGAAGAACTAGGCTCTACTGCCCATGAAGGAACAAACTAGCCAGAAAGAGCAAGCAGACAAAAGAGAGCAAGTTTCCTTGGTCTTTATCAATTATTTAGGCTGCCAGCAGAAGGTATAGCTCAGCTAAAAGGTGGATCTTCCAACCTCTGAATATCTGCATTAAAAGTGTATTTTCTCACTTCAAATTAAAGAAAATTTCCTCAGCTGGATGCTGTTGGCACATGACTTGGAAGGCAGAGTTAGGCAAATCTCAGTGGATTTGAGGTCACTCTGGTCTACAGAGTGAGTTTCAGGACAGCCAGAACTGTTGCACAGAGAAGGGGGAAAAAAATCCTCACAGTTATGTCTAGCTGCTTGGATTTTAGTTAATTCCAAATGTGGCCAAGTTGACAACCAAGAATAGCCATCACAGATCCCCTGGAGCTAAAGTTACAAGCAAGCAGCTGTGAGCCACCAAACATTGGAGCTGGGAAACTAACTTGGGTCCTTTACAATAGAAGTATGTATTCTTAACCACCGAGCCAACCTCCCTAGCCCCTGAGCAGTTATTTTTAATTTGAAGAATAGCAGGTGTTAGAGATCATTTAAAAGAATAAGTCTGTTCAACCTAAATTTAATTGAAGATCATAGAAGGATAAAGTAACTGATATCTTTTAAAATTACAGAGAATTTCCCATATAGCTTTCAGTAAATTCTGTGAAGAGCCACTGTGAGTCCTGAAATTGACCGAGTTAATGTAGTTTATTAAGTTGTATTTCTCTGCTCAGTAAATATGTACAATATATGAGAATCAAATAAATTACCTTTAAACAACTGCTCCCTGAAGAATATATGGTACTTTTGTTCTGTAGTTTACAGTTTTCTCTAAGGAAAAAGTAAAAGTGTTTATCCCTAGGCGTTCTGTGTCCATTAGATAAGACTGAAGCTTCAAATGATGTTATATTTACCTTGTAGTTGTGTTTGCCTACCAATAGGTATGCCACTGAGTAACCCAAGAAGACAAAGATCCTGATTTAAGGATAAAAACCTGAGTAATTAATGCTCTACTTTCCTTATTTTAAAAAAAAACATATCATTAAGAGTTCAAAGTCCCTGCAAATGTACTTTGTTCCTTAGGAGATCAGCCTTTCTATTTATAGGATATATTCTAATCTAATGAACATCTGACACAACAGATGCCGACAAGATATAAATATCAGTTTGATATTCTTATAGGGACCTCAACAGTAACATTCACACACAGTGCTTTGCTCGGAGATTGGGAATTGTTTGGATCCCTACCTCATCCTGATCGTTTTCAGCTATTTTGGAAAGCAGCAGGAACAAAGTGTTAATATGCTGTACCTTTGGGGACATTCCCCATGCACACACGTGGTAGGTGGGTAGAGCCAGGCTTGGACAAGTGTGTGTTTTCTCATACATAGACATTTTTCTTTAATGTGAAATTAGAAGAGAAGAAAGACCTGGAGGACGTGGGAAAAGGAGACGGAGTAATGGGGAATATGAAGATAATCAAGAACATTGTAAGCATGTGTGAAATGGCACAAGGAAACCCATTGCTTTCTACATTTAATATATGCTAAAGAGGAAAATAAAACATCCTATAAGTTATCCCTAGGTAGGAAAGGGGTGAATACTGGCTAGAGATCAGGAAAAGAGCTGGTAAAGGACATACAGTAGGTACATTAGGTATTGTGGTGGGCCATATAGTTTCTGTTGAATGAAAGCAGATGTGGAACATGTTGCCATCTCCCAGTAAGATTTTATTACAGTGAAATTGAGAATCTGGAGTCAAAATGATACCAAAATTTTATTCAGGACACCACCTTTCACATTAATAATAATAATAATAATAATAATTTTGGTGTGGATAGAAACTTAAAATGCGTGTTTACCTCCTCCTGGGTCTACTGAAGTGGTCACTGTTACTCTTCATATTAAGTGATGTGTTAGCTTTTCCCATTTCTGTTCTGTCTTTTCTTATATAATACCAATTGCATCATTATTGGGTTTTGAAGTCATGAAGCTTGAGGGTAAATTAAATTTCCATACAATTGTTCATATCTGAAGTCTACTCGTTGGAGGGTAAGTTTGTTGTATACAGATCAGTTCCTGGGCAGTGAGGACTACACAGAGAAACCCTGTCTCAAAAAAGAGAAAGAAGGAGAGAAAAGGAGAGGAAAGGAAAGGAAAGGCAGGAAGCAGATTGGCACTGTGGTCAGGCTCTAAGGAACTATTGGTGCTTGTGATCATTGCAGTGAAAAGCTACTTGAAGAGTCAGCACTCAATATGTAAATACCCACATATAGACACAAACACACACACATAGTTAAAAAGAATAAAAATAAGTATTCTTAAAAATAACAACTATTTTACATATTTTAGCATTATAATCTTCAAGCTTCAATGACAGGCTAGTAGTGATCTATCTAGATACATTTATTTCAAAGCCATGGAACATCCAGTTGTCCATCCCTCTTACCTTCTGCCTCAGCTAACCAACATTTTGAAGAAACCACTCAGTTTAAACTGAGTGATGGTCTCAAGGCAAACATTTTGTATGTCCAGTCTAGTAAATAAACACATGCTCTTTGTATTATCTTTATCTGTGCTTTGTCGTGTCAGGTTCTGTTTCTGAAAGCTTTGTGTCCTGTCTTGTTTCAGGATTATAGCTGGACAGACATTCGCTGCCCCTTTGAGAAACGGAGAGATGCAGCGTGTGTGTTTTGGGACAATGTGGTATACATTTTGGGTGGTTCTCAGCTTTTCCCTATAAAGCGAATGGATTGCTACAATGTTGTGAAGGATAGCTGGTATTCCAAACTGGGTCCTCCAACACCTCGAGACAGCCTTGCTGCCTGTGCTGCAGAAGGCAAGATTTATACATCTGGAGGTTCAGAAGTAGGTAAGATCCCATTGATATTTTTAACAGAAGTATTTTAATCCAAGTATCTTGGCATTCGTATTTTTAAAATTTGGGAAGATTTGTCCAGATACTTTGGTAATTTAAGTGCATGTCATTAACATTTTAGATCCTATTTCCTTGTAAGCTTACCTTAATCCTTAAAATCATTAATTGACAGGAGTGCCAGTATTCTAGGGTTAGAAAGATGGTTCAGTAATTAAAGGCACATACTGCTATTCCAGACCAGAGTTCATTTCCCAGTAGCCACATCAGATGGGCTTATAACCACCTGTAATTCCAGCTCTGAAAGGCATCCAATACCTTTGGCCTCTGTAGGCACCTGCATGCATATTTACAGATATGCGCACACATAATTAAAAATAACAAAAAAATTATGCCATCTTTCTAGATATACTACCCTCTTTGTTATGATGAAGTGCTAGTTGGCAGTATTTCCATTTTACTTGCAGGTTAGTTGCTTTGGGTAGTTAATATTATTTCCTCTGAAGTTTTCAGAGTTTTATTTAATCACTGGTCCAGTAAGAACATGTTCCTTTGTAGCATAAGAATGAATGCTCTTATTTTCTTCTTTCTATTTTTTGAGTTAGAGCCTTATTTTATAGTCCAGAGTGATTCTGAACTCATCATCTGCCTCCCTCGGCCTTCTGAGTGATGAGATCACGTATTTTAACCACTATATCACCAGTTTAAGAATAATTGTGTTCATTTGCTTTAAGAAAATTTCAGGAGCTGGTTGGTTGGCTGCCTGGTTGGAGATTAGGTCTCATGTACACAGGCTACCTTCCCACTTACTATGTAGCTGTGGATAATCTTCAACTTCTACCTTCCAACTCTACCTTCCAAGTACTGTGACTACAAGGTTGTGCCACCATGATCACTGGCATGCAGTGCAGAGTTGTCAAACCTAGGATTTTGTGCATAGTAGGCCAGTACTCTACCAACTAAGTTACATCCTGAGGATCTTCTTTAAATTTCTGTGTTTATGGATCAGAGTAGGGCACAGGTATAAGTATAAATACTTGTCTAGTTGATAATTTTTTAGGGTCAATATTTTTCTAAATGAATATTCTAGGTACAGCCTAGGAGTAATAGACTTTATAAATTAATAGACTAGCATATAACAGAATTTTTATGCTTTTCTCTTTTCAAGTAATTTATTTGCTTACATAGTGGACTTATAAAGAAAACTAGGAAGACCAAGTAAACCTAAGGTGTGGAATTTAATGGGCTCTTTATTTTTCATTGGTGACCTTTATATTAGCTCAGAAAATGTTTTACTTTGGGCTAGCATACTTATCTTGTAAATTTTTTTTGTTTTGTTTTAGTTTTTATTTTTTGTTCTAAATTTTTACCTCCTCCTACTACACCCTTTTAATCCCAGCACTGAGGCAGAGGCAGGTATGTGAACTCAAGGCAGCCTGGCCTGCATATCAAGGTCCAGGAAATCCAAGGTTTCATAGTGGGACCCTGTCTCAAAAAGAAAAGTCATTAAATAAAATTACAAGGTCCTTTTTATTTTTACTAAGAAAAGACAAAACACTTACCCTAGTTTGGAGGTGTTGGTTCATACCTTTAATCCCAGCACTTAGGAGGCAGAGGCAGACAGATCTCTGTTAGTTCAAGGCCAGCCTGGTCTACAGATCTGAGTTGCTGGACAGGCTCCAAAGCTACACAGAGAAATCCTGTCTCAAACAACAACAATAACAACAACATACCACTTACCCCTTTAATGGGATTATTTACAAAATTCTTACTGAGCTCCTACAGTATGTAAAAGTTGTAAAGCTTAGTGAATATATGTTTTGCTCTTAAAATGCTTAATCAGTGTACCAACAGAAGTACTCATTAATACCTTGATGTTATACTTAAGTATACTTTAGGACCCATCTGCATATAGTTTTGTTAATAGGCAGTAGCAATTATAGAATACTAAGTAAGCCTTAAGAATATTGTCAGATAGTAAATTTATATTTTAAGGTTTAGATTTAGTTTGCCAGATCTTCATATTTAAGAAGTGTAGCTGTGTTTTAAAATTTTACATTTTAAGGCTGCAGAGATGGCTCAGCAGTTAAGAGCACTGGTTACTCCTCCAGAAGACCTGGGTTCAATTCCCAGAAACCACACAGCAACTCACACCTGTCTATAACTCTAATTCCAGGGGATCCAACACCCTCACACAGATACACATTAATTCAAAGCACTAATGAATAAAATAAGGTAATTCTTATCATGCACAACTGGCTCTGAAGACTACATAATGTTTCTTTTGTTCTTTAGAAGTCAATTCAATTTCTTTTCCTAAAATGTAATTACCAATAAATCTATCCAACAGATCCTTTTGTTTTAATGTTTTCCATGGTCCTTACAATATCACGAACTTTTCTTAAATTATTGTGGCAAATATAAAAATTACCTCTACAGTAAATTCTTCCTTCTGTTCCTTTAGCTCTATAGTCACTAAACTGCAAATGCACGTCAAGTCAAGTGTAAGTAAGTAGATGGTAGGACCCTTTCTTTTCAGGGAGGGTGATGAAACAGGGTCCCACTATATACCCCAGTCTTGCCTCACATTTCCCAGTCCTCAGCCTCTTAATTTAAGCCCCTTTCTTTTACAGGAAACTCAGCTCTATATTTATTTGAGTGCTATGATACAAGAACTGAAAGTTGGCACACGAAGCCCAGCATGCTAACTCAGCGCTGCAGCCATGGGATGGTGGAGGCCAATGGCCTCATCTATGTTTGTGGTGGAAGCTTAGGCAACAATGTTTCTGGGAGAGTGCTCAGTTCCTGTGAAGTCTATGACCCTGCCACAGAAACGTATGTATCTATTTTAAATGATTCTGTCAGTGCTACTATACTCCATAAGGTCACTGGATGAAGATACTAAAAGGTAGAAGAATATACCTACACTTGAATAGCCTGAGACCTTAGGAAATAACTTGACCTTGTTGGCACATGGGAGCGAGCCCCTCTCTTTCCGGACCTGCTTGTTCAGTAAATATGAATGATACACCTGATCGGTCGGTCCATCAGACTCCTAAATGTAGGGGAAAAGGAGAGAAAACTTAGAATTAAATTATGTTTGCCCTTAGGCAGCAATATTACAAATTGGTTTTTGGTATTAAGCATTCTCCTAAAGTGCATCTAAATTAGTATTTGTTAATAATATTAACTGGTGGGAAGCAGGTAACGTCTTTGAAAGGCAAAATGTTGAGCTGAGTATGGAGTGCATGCCCTGTACTTCCCACACTGAGAAGACTGAGGCAGGAGAATGGCCATGAGTTTGAGGCCAGACTGGGGTATAGCAAGAGTCCTTGTCTGGAAAAACAAAACAAAAAACAAGAGGGAAATATTTCATTATAAAATATTATTGATCTGTTTTTAAATGATTTTTAAAAATATGATAACACTTTCCCAAATAAAAGTGCAGTTATGTTTTTATTCTCATTTGTTCAGCTCATCACCAAGAACTAGCACCAAAAAGCTACTTCCCTTAAAATTTATATTTTACTAAAGAAATAAATCTCTTAGTTCCAAATGAATTGCAGTCTGATGTTTTTACCACAGCAACTCTTATAAAGGAAACATTTAATGGAGGTGGCTTACTTACAGTTCAGAGGTTCAGTCCGTTATCATCATGATGGGGAGCATGGCTGTGTGCTGGCAGATGTGCTGGAGAAATACCTGAGAGTCCTACTTCTTGCAGACAACAGGAAGTGGTCTGAGATACTGGGCAGTATCTTGAGCACATATGAGACCTCAAAGCCCATCTTCACAGTGACACACTTCCTCCAACAAGACCACACATAATACCACTCCCTTTGGGGAACCCAAGAGCTGACTGACCAGACAGATACAGCAAAGACCTATAAAGGAAGACAGCTCTGACCTCTGCATTTATAGCACAGGCCCTACCCAGACACAGGTTTTAAAAATAAATACAAAGAAAAAGAAACCTGTAATTTTGGTATTATTTTTAATTGCCCCCCCACCCCCTTTGGTTTTTGAGACAGGGTTTCCCTGTGGAACAGTCCTGGCTGTCTTGGAACTCACTCTGTAGACCAGGCTGGCCTCTAACTCACTGAAATTTGCCTGCCTCTGCCTCCCGAGTGCTGGGCTTAAAGGCGAGCACCACACCACCACCAATATTTTTGTTGTTGTTGTTTTAACTAACTGAATATTCAGTTTTGGGAATGTGTAAAAACTTCGTAGGCGTAGCACCTCTTTTGTTATATTGGACTTGTGTTTTAAATTTGTATTCTCATCATTCTGTTCAGTACTCTTCAGTTTTCATCAATAAAATGTTACCTGGGTTGGGAAAGCTGGCTCAGTGTTTGGGCACACCAAGTGCTCTTCCAGAGGACTGGGGTTCAGTTCTCAGTGTCCCCACCATGGTGTCTTACAGCCATTTGTATCTCCAGGTCTGTGGGATCCCTTTTCTGACCTTGGGCACTAGGCACAAATGTGATGCACAGACATATATTCAGGGAAAGCCCACAGATAAAATAAAGCAATAAATGTAAAAAGAAAAACTAAACCCTGAACCATCAGATTGGAAACTGAAAAGTAAAATGCATACTTCACATGTACATTGTTAGCACCACTGCTAAACTGTCAGATTTCAGAACATGCATACCCGAAAATGTGTTCTTTAAGCTGGGCATCAGTGGCCCATGCCTTTAATCCCCAGCGCTTGGGAGGCAGAGGCAGGCAGGTCTCTGTGAGTTCCAGGCTAGCCTGGTCTGCAGTGCTAGAATCAGGAGGATAGCTCCAAAGCTACAGAGAAACCCTGTCTCAAAAAATCAAAAAAAAAAAAAAAAAAAAAAAAAGAAGAAGGAAGGAAGGAAGGAAGAAAACTTATTCTTTATATTATAAACATTTTTGGAGAAGAAAGAAGAATGTAAATAGAATTTTCCAACCCAAATATTTTTCATAATACACAGTGGCAGCTTACTATGTGGAGAGGCAGTGTAGCACTATCCCATTCCTAGCTGCAAACTTGTCATTTCATCTGCGTAAGCACACACATGCGCGCCTGTGTGTGTGCGCGTGCGTGTATATGTGCATGCGTGTGTGCGTGCATGCCTGCATGTATTTCTTGAAAAACAGGGCCATTATGACCTCCATAGTGATTGGTGGATATGAAGCCATTTTTAAACCAAACAAAAAAACATAAATACAAGACAACAGAAAAATTGCTAATATTTCAGTTGATCATAAGGCCCCTAAATAATGTCAAAACTAATTCAGTTTTTTAAGAGTTTAAAATAACCATCTTTTATGCTAAGTTTTCCCGTTGTTTGAAGTCTTGTGGTGCTAGCTGTTAAAATCCCAGAGCCTATGTATCATTGGTACCCTCAGAGTCATACATGAGTATATACATGTATACAGAGTATATACATGTATATGCATGCATATACAAAAGAAAATGCTATCAGAAAGAAGTAAGCACCTTAGTGGTCAGTGTTAGCTGTGTGCATGATAATGCTACCTTTGTTAGTATACTTCATCAGTGTCTACACTGGTATTCTCAGTTTCACTGAGTAGTGGCTGTGTGGCAGTAAGTTACTCAGACCCACAAATGGCACAGAGAGGCCCTGTCTCAGAGGTAAGGGAGCAGGAGGTAATTGAAGCTTTGCCATTTCAAAGATTATTAGAAACTGGGAAATGGATTTCTTCAAAAGACACATAAATTGTTTCCTTTCATTATATATCTTATTAAAAGTTTAAGTCCCCCAATTTACCCTACCTATAAAAGCATTATCCAAAACTACTTGAGTGTTTCCCAGCCTTCCAGACATCTTAGATGTATACATGTATGAGACACTTTGTCAATGAGCATTGTTTAGGATAATAGGCCTGTCCCATTATTTACTTCTTGTAAATAAGCACACTAAAAACTTTTTTTCCCCAGATGGACTGAGCTGTGTTCAATGATTGAGCCCAGGAAGAATCATGGACTGGTGTTTGTAAAGGACAAGATATTTGCTGTGGGTGGCCAGAATGGTTTAGGTATATGATGTTAACTTACTCTCTTCAACTCCCCTGGGTGTGCTGATGAGTGCTGAATTACTGGAACATCTCCTAAAACTGAATCATTGCCATATAGAGCACTAAGTCCTTACCACTGACATATGTTATGAATGGCAAGCAGTCATTGTGATTGCCTCAGACAAGCTGTGCCTTTCCATATCCCACAGGGAGGCTTTCCCATCTGCTTAAGGAGTACTGAGCAGCTGAGAAATGTGAATGTGAGAAACAAACTCTTTCACCAGCTTCTCAACATTTTAAAGACTGCATGAAAGTAGCTGTTGACTTTTAGACGTTTTTTCTTAAGTAGTGCTAATAATGATTTTAAATAATTAGTTTAAATAATGAGAAATGTGAACTGAATCTAGAGATAGTACTTCATTTTATCAGGGTATCTATGTGTTAAGTAAAACAAATAACTTCTTTTCTCTTACCCACTGGTGCTCTCCATAAAATGTTAAAAGATAGAAGAGCATTTGGAGTAATGTATAATAGAAGTAAATGAGAAAGCAAATCTCTGATACTTTTTTATTTTCTTTTCCAAGATAGAACATTTGTAGGAAATGTTCCTTTTTTTTTTTTTCTTTTTTAACATTTAACTTTGTAGGGAAAAAATGATTATTATGAAAATTATCAATTTCTTTTATGTTTAAAAAATACGTAGGTAGTGAATATGTGAATAATGATTGTAAAGTTCATGTCCTTTCAATGTGTTTAACAATTTTATTTTGAAAATAAAATGTAAACTTTAAAAATTATTGAAAGATCCAAGAGCGATTGATACAGTTCTCATATTTTGTTCTTCTAAAGGTGGTCTGGACAATGTGGAATATTACGACATTAAATTAAATGAATGGAAGATGGTGTCGCCGATGCCGTGGAGGGGTGTAACAGTGAAGTGTGCTGCGGTCGGCTCTATCATCTATGTGCTGGCCGGCTTTCAGGGTGTAGGTAGACTAGGGCACATCCTTGAATATAATACAGAAACAGACAAATGGATTGCCAACTCCAAAGTCCGTGCTTTCCCAGTCACAAGTTGTCTAATTTGCGTTGTTGATACTTGTGGAGCAAATGAAGAGACCCTTGAAACATGAGTGAGTGGATCCCGACTCAGCTGAGACTCAGAAATCTGGCTACCAGTGGTTTGTTCCATTAGTTTGGTTGTGACGTTCTGGTCTGGTATTTTGATAAGTAAGATTCCAATAAAATACAAGTTTATTTTACCTGGATTTGATTACTTCATTCAAAGACCATATTTTAGCTGGCCATATAACCAAGAAGCTATCAGCCAGAAAACTTGAAAGTTATAAGCATTTCTTGGAAATTAAGAATTTCAAATGTATAACTGATTCTGACAGAGTGGGGCATGCTCATCAGAGAAGTAGCCCAGCTTAGCTTTAGATTCTATTTTCATATTGTGTAAGTGCTGTGTAGTTAGTCTGTTTCTGTTTGGTCAAGACTAAGTAGTAGCGTGGATTATATTTCAAGATGGCAAACTCTGATAGAGTAAATGTATCTAGTATTAAGTATTTTGCTTGTCTTCATTTATTTCATTTAGTGCCAAACTATTCCATTCTAAAGTAAGCAAGAGCAGCTCAAGGCATACATATTTTCTTCACACATTTGGAGATTTAACACCATACCAAATTATTCATGGAATATATTCAGTCCAATTAAATGAAATATTCCACATTTTCATGTAGAATATTCTTAGCACTCATCATCAATTTATGTGGTTTTTCCTCAGCAATGTAAAAAGTACTCTGCACCCTCAGTTCTTACTGTGAAAGCCAATCAGAATACAGTGGTTAGCCACAGAAGAAAGGCTGTTTGAAGAAATTCTGGGTTGCCAGAAAAGCATTGATAACTGTAGCCTGGTATCATGTGGATTTTAAGATACTGTTTTCTTTTTTTCCTAGCAAAACATGTCAGAGACAACTCAGTTTTCTCTAAATATTTTATAATTGGCATTAAGTATATGTCACTGTTCATTGCTTTGATGTAGTCAACAAACTACCAAACCATTTATTAATTTTTCCCCAGTGTTTTACCCTTTGACTATGTATGAGATGTGCCATGTAAAACTGTCAATCATCAATGTTTTTCTGATATTAAATATTTTTAACTTAAAATAGATTTGCTCTGTTTATTCATTCTAAGTGTGTTCAATAATGTTTTTAAAATTTGTGCAGGTGTTTCCATTTTTAATTTTTCTCTATATAGAGGTTATAGACTAAAATGTTTAAAATAAAAATGAATTTAAAAATTTTTTTCTGTTGAGTTTTTATGTATAGATAGCTCTGTTGAGATGTAATCCATAGGCATACAATTCATCCATTTAAACTGTACCACTTAGTGGCTTTTACTATTTTCAATGTGGGCAGTCCTCAAATTTTTAGAATGTTTTCATCACCCCTCCCAAAAAAACAAAAACCTGTATGTACTAGTAATCACCCCTACTTAGTGAATTGAAACAAAGGTATTCTCAATGTTTAGGAGGCCAGGTGTCCCAGATCTGGCATTTGGAGGACTGGGCAAAACCACCATGTCTCCCCTCTCTGCTGCTGTTTGCCAGTGACCCTTGTTACTTACTCTTAGCCAACAACTGCATTGCAGTCTTCTACCTTGGTCTTCTCATGGCCACTTGGTTTTTGTTTGTTGGGGGGAGGGTTGTTTTGTTTTGTTTTGTTTTTTCTGTTGTGTAACTATCATCACATAGTTCTTTTATATAAACACAGCAATCAGTTAGGCTCTGTTATTATTTTTAACTTAACATGCATGAATGTTTTGTCTGTCTGTATGCCTGGTGCCCACAGAGGTAGAAGAGCCCCTGAAACTGGAGTTATATAGATGATTGAGAGCTACTGTGTGAGTCCTAGGAATTGAGCCCAGGTCCTCTAGAATATAAGCTAGTGCCCTTAACCTTGGAACCACATCCAACTGTCCTGAAATCAAGATATCCACCTGCTCTGCTTCCCAACTCCTTGGGAGTAAGGGTATGCACCAACAACAGATGGATTCTGGCACTTTATCTTAAACCACTTACATTTGCAAAGATCCTGTTTCTAAGTGAAAATACATTGTGGAGTTTTAGGTAGACATGAACTTTGTGAGGAGCACTATTTAACCGAGTACACCCTTTAGAAACTCCAGCCTCAGGCAACCTCCACCTCCAGATGTGACATTTTTCTGTAGGATTTTTAACTTTGCATTCCATTTTAAAATGTGGCTACTTGGAGCTGGAGACATGGCACTTGGTGCTCTTGCAGAAGGACACAGGTGTGCTTTGTATCCACTCAGGCCCACCACCATCTATAACTCTAGTTCCAGGGGATCTAGTGCCCTCATTCTAGCCCCAAGTACCAGGCACACAGTGAAGCACATGAGTACATATATGCACGCAAACGTGACATAAATTTTTAGTGTGGCTAAATTTTCTAGTGATTAAAGTACTTATGTTTAAATGTGGTTATACTAATAGAGCAACCACCCATGTAGAATATGCATCACTGCTTAAAATATTTTAAATACACTAGCTGTTCTTTTTAGGCTGTGTTAACTACAGCACATTATATCAAGTTTGATACAGCTTTCAATAAGGCTGCTTTCCCCCTAGTAGTGCCTCTCCCCAGACCTATTATACATAATTCTCGAAGCCAGGGTAACTGATAAAAGTAAACTGGATTCAAAATATCACCTTGTGTACAAATTACTTTGTATAAGAAAGCTTATACCAAGCGCTCTGCTTTCATTTCAGTAGATCCTGGCTTTATTGGTGTTCTATTCCTGGAAGTGGCCTATTTTGATAATACATGATTAAGTTTTCAAAAATCACAATTTGAATATGTTTAGTAGTCAAAATTGTTACATAACTATAAACAGTAATTGTGGCTTTGTGGTCTAGTTTTCAAAACCTGACATAGTGCCATGAAAACCTCTGAACCTTTTAATATGCCCGATCAAAATAAAATGTGCCACTTAATAAAGTTATTCAACTAAGCCTATATTCTTTTTCGCCATGTGTGCATTGGGGGAAAAGCTTACTGTACTTACCAAGGGAAAGATACTGGGGGGGGGGTACTTTTTTAAAACTGATAATCTTAGCCTACACTGAAGACTGAAGAAAATCCATTTAGTCCATCCGATATGATACCGTAACAGTTCTCACTAAACCTCAGCAAACTGGTGATGTGAAAAGGCCTTTCATGGGCTGCAGCATTTAGCAACGCTTGATCTTCCTAGTTTCCCTCCTTTTTAACATAAACTAATTTAGTGGGCGGGCAGAGATAAAAAGTAGTTTGAAGCAGGTAGGCCAGCCAGGGCTACATAGTGATACTATTTCAAAAGAAAATAAAGGAAGAAAAGGAAGAGGAGACGACGACCAAATGAAATAAATTTTAAAAAATCCTTATTTGAGGCTGTGCATCTGAGGAAAAGATAGCTACTTCTGTGCCAATTTTCCAGACAATTTTCATTCTTTTGATAAAATTTCAAAAGGCAATATTTACATGAAATTTTACGAACAAGATTTCTCGGTGCAGGAAGACATTACCAGCTAAGGAGCTATTAAGATGCTTTTCGCCTGGAGTGCATCCTGTTTCCTAGTGACAGCTGACTTTCTCCGAGTCGTTCTCTTTTTGAGACCAGTTTTTATCTTGTTTAAATAAGAGTAAAGAACGACTGGGCTTCTCAAACTACGCCCGGAGCCTTGGCGGTTTTCTGCTACATCGGGTTCCCAGGTCCAAAGGCGAGTTCCTTCTCAGCACCCTTCTGGCGTGCTGGCGGGTCTGCTCTTCTCAAATCCCATTGGCTAAGGCCCACGCCACTCACCGCACCGAGACAGAGCACAGAACCTCTGGACGCGGGGGGATGACGTCACACTAGCGACAGGGCTTCGGTTATTGAAGACTGGGCCGTCCATGCTGACCTGAAGACCGCGAGCTGGGACGGCGCTACAATGACCATTTGCCAGTTTTTCCTTCAAGGCCGGTGCCGCTTCGGAGACCGCTGCTGGAATGAGCATCCCGGCACCCGGGGCGCGGGCGGGGCCCGGCAGCCGCCACCGCAGCAGCAGCAGCAGCAGCAGCAGCCCTCAGGTGACAGACGCGAGCCAGTCTCGAGATGCGGCTGATGAGACAAGGACGGGGCTTTGGACCTGAATGCTAGTAGTAAACACTGCGTTTTAAATAGAAATATATCTTATCAAAACCACTTTGTTGAAGGGAGAATTCGCCTGGGTCTGTCCGGACCTCTTGCCCTACTTTCGCCTTCCTTGTCCTTGATCATAAATTTTGGGCTTTGGTTGGTAGGGTGGGACGCTGGGCCAAGAACGTACAGGTTTTGATGAAAGAGTATTCAAAGGGACAGACATTAAACCAGACATAAAACCAACACAAGGTTTTAAAAGTCAGATTCATAATATTTTCTTATTTTGGAAACTCGTTCTTAATGTTATCACTGGCTGCTTCTTTAAGGCTCATCCAGTCCCTTGTGTTGCATGGTGGTTTCATCTTTCAACTCTCGTAGTGGAGGAGGCAGATTGTATTATCCATCTACAACTGACCTATTGAAAGTGAAGTACTCCAAAAATTAGGACTATGGTTCTGATAAATACCCAGGGACTGCTGAGAGTAATGTTTGTCGTGTCGTCTCTGGAAACGTACTTTAAATGTAGTAATTTGAAAGTAAACACTCGGTAAATAGATAATTGAATGAAAAAATACAAATAAAACTCCAGGATGAAAAGAAAGAAAAAAAATGCTTTGAAGTTATAAGGCCAAAATTAGGACCGTCTAGTGCAGCATGAAGGAAATTCATTCTGTGCCGTGTGATCCCCCCTCCACACACACACACACACACACACACACACAGAATTTAGAACTTCAAAACAAAATGCCTATTTTGTTCTGAAATTCCTATTTCAGAAATGTAATTTAGCTGTCTCATCCATTTCGCCTTGGATTTATGGAGTGGTTTAGAATGTGGGTACACCCATCATTACGTTTTTAGTATATATTAAATGACATTTTCCAAATCAGTCATAAGATAAATTACCTTCATCCTAGCCTCAATTACAAAGTGATAAAATGACAGACTATCGAAACCGGAAAGAAGTCCTATTGACTCGTTTTTTATATTTATGAAGTGTTAGAAATCTGTACTTCACCTACCTATTAGTGAGCTCTGTAATCGCCACATGAAAGGTGGGTATGTAGGTATTGTGTCCACAGAGGAAAGATTGAGTCAAGTGGTCTTTAAATATCTATTTAAGGACAGACAGTAAAATTTAGTCCTTTTTAGTGTGCAATTTATTTGTTGTTCTCTTTCATTTATTGTATCTATATGGCCCAGTGAAGAAACAAATTAATGAAAACACAGCTTTCCCCGAACATATACATAACCAGCTCTAGGTCAAACCAGGGACCTTGAGCATTCTAGGCAAAGACTCTTCACTAAAGAAGCTTATGGCTTTTAGAGTATCTTCTATTCATTCCCCAATGGTCAAGCAGTTTAATAGATTTATAAAAACTGAACTCAGCAATATATCTTTATTTTTCTATGGATTTCTAATCCTCTTGATCTCATTATTAAAAATGTTTATTTTATGTATGTTGGTATTTTGCCTACATGTATATCTCTATGATTGCAGATTCCCTGGAACTTGATTTACAGTCGTGAGATGCCATGTAGGTGCTGGGAATGAACCCAGGTTCTCTGGAAGAGCAGCCAGTGCTCTTAATTGCGGAGCCATCTCTCCAGCCCATTGGTCTCATTTTTGTTGTTGTTTGTGTTTTGGTTTTGGTTTTTGTTTTGTTTTGGTTGTTTGAGATAGGAAGATAGGGTCTCACTACTTGTAGCCCTGGCTGGTCTAGATCTCAGAGATCTGCCTGCCACTCCTCCACAGTGCTGTGATTAAAGTCATACACTAATACACCTGGCCTTGATCTCATTTTTCAAATGCAATTAGAACATTATATGATTTGTTATAACATGTAACAAATAAATCATAAAGGGATTGCCATATAAAAGTAATAGAAAATAGCACTTTATTAGTCTTTGTATAATTTCTAGACATAATGAGATAAAATATAATGGAGATTTCCAAAATTTGAAAAAGTTACCAATTTTATGACTAATTTTGTTAATGACTTAGGAAGTAACAGGCGTGGGTGGAATGCCAACAGCCAGAGATATTCCAATGTCATCCAGCCATCCAGCTTCTCCAAGTCTACGCCATGGGGTGGCAGCAGAGATCAAGACAAACCTTTA